GAAAGGCACTTTTGGGCTTCCAAAATTTTTCATGGTATCAAAGCTTGCGTTACTATTTGCTACGCAACTGATGGTTATTGTTGCAGATCTTGATCCGACCACAGCTTATTATCTCCATCCCTCGGGTCTCTCCTTATTCACGTATCTTGGTTCTCTTACTTTTGAAGGAGGATCAGAACAGTGCGCGAGTCACTATATTCAACAGCAGCAACAGCCGAAGCTCATTGACTGCGATAAACTAAGCTCGTTCCTACCAATTGACGATTCAGGTATTCTGCCTTATTCTGGCAGCTCAGAACAGACTCTTCAAAAGTTCGATGCTGCAAACAGAAGAGTCTGGATGAGTTTGGCATGTTCTGCAGAGGATAATCAAAGACTACGACGGTGATCCGCTTGTTCTTGCGCCGTGACATTCCTCTGTTCCTTCTTGTTTCTTCAAGAACTCAATACCAGTTTTCAAAAATGCAAATGGTAGAGCTCGACGACACCAATATTGATGTACTCTGATTTCTTCGTGAGCCTCATTAGGATCGTTCATCATCTTCTTGGAATCAAACTCGATATTACTGCTGACGAGTCTTGCTGATCGGTCACCATGGCTGCCAACAATGACAGGAATGGTGAAAGCTCGAGTAAGTTTATTGGACCGTCTTCTCCTTTCTATTTGCATCCATCAGATAATCCTGGAGTTATTATCAGTTCGGTGGTCTTAAGAGGAGATAACTACGACGAATGGGCAAAGGCTCATGCTGCTCAGTCATCAGCAGGGTGTGAGGTGGTTGCTAATGCAGTTGTGACTGATGGAGACCAGACCGGACTGAGCGGGCTTAATGACGAGCAATGGCAGACTCTTGTAAGCATGCTTAATGCTTACAAAATCAGGACTAAGGAAAAACTCTCTGGTAAGAATTACTCCACTGAATGGATTATTGACTCTGGGACGTCACATCACATGACAGGGAATTTAAATGTACACCTATGATGTTGCACCTTGTCTTGTTAGGTTACCCAACGGTGCACACACCGAGGCCGTGAAAGAAGGCACTGTTGAACTTGGAAAGAATTTTAAATTGCTGCACGTATTATATGTCCCAAAACTCAATTGTAATTTATTGTCAGTAGGTCGGTTACTTCATGACACAGATTGTATTGTGATGTTTACTAATAAGTTGTGTGTGATACAGGACCGCCTCTCGAGGACTCTGATTGGTGCGGGTGAACAGCTTGATGGGGTCTATGTCTTCAAGGGTGTGGCACCAGTTCTTGCTTACAAGACAGATGGAATTGGGTCATGCGATTTGTGGCATCGGTGATTGAAACACCCTTCTTATCAAATGGTTAGTTTACTTCTTAATATCAGTAATAGTAAGAACAAAACCTGTGATGTTTGTTTGAAGGCAAAGCAAACTAGAKATGTTTTTATYCAAAGCRRCAATAAAGYRACTGATTGTTTTGCATTGATTCATTGTGACTTATAGAGTACCTGCATCTTGTGGTGCTGCATATTTTTTTACAATTATTGATGATTATTCTCGAGTGGTTTGGATTTATTTGCTGGCTGGAAAAAGTGAAGTTGGTCGAACACTCAAAATTTTCTATGCAATGATTGAACGACAATTTAATAAGAAGGTTAAGGTGGTGAGAAGTGATAATGGAACAGAGTTTAAATCCTTGAAATCATATTTTGACGAGCAAGGATTTTTGTTTCAAACTTCCTGTGTTGGAACACCACAACAAAATGGTCGTGTGGACAAAAAACATCGTCATATTTTGAATGTGGTCAGAGCGCTCAGGTTTCAAGCACATCTTCCGATCAATTTCTGTGGTGAGTGTGTTTTGACCGCAGGGTACTTGATTAACCAGACACCTTCGACCCTTCTTGGTGGTAAAACACCTTACGAGATGCTATTCGGACAAAGTCCTTCTTATAAACATCTCAGAGTTTTTGGTTACTTGTGTTTCTCGCATACTCAGGACTGTGACAAATTTGCCACTAGGAGTAGGAAATGTGTCTTTGTTGGGTACCCTTTTGGGAAAAAGGGGTGGAAATTATACAATCTTGAGTCTGGTGATTACTTCGTCTCACGAGATGTGGTGTTTAGTGAGGCCAAATTTCCCTTCTCTCCGGAACATCAACCCTTAGTAACTAGTCCTTCCATAGCCAAAGAAAATGTTGGGTGGCCTTGGGCTGTCCAACCACCAAACTCTGCGACCACTCCTCCTGACATGGTATCTGAGTCACCTCATATAGAAGTCAGGGGGAGCAACACAATCGATGAAGAAGGACATGAAAACACGAGTAATGATGAGGAGGCAGGTCCTGCTGATGAGACAAGGAGCCATACAGATTGCAGGAATAATGAAACTCAAGCTGCTCCTCAGCCCACCACGGAGTTATTAGGTCACGGACATTGAGAAAAGCGGACCCCCAGCTATTTGCAGGACTTTGTCACACACTCTGCTCATCGTTTAGACCCCTCCGCTATTTCTCCTGCATCATCTCAGTCCTCAGGTACTCCTTATCCCATAACTCATTATGTGATGTATGATAATTTTTCTATGAAACACAGGCATTTCTTAGCAGCTGTTACTGTAGGCCGAGAACCTACTCGTTTCTATGAGGCAATGACTTATGCTCGGTGGCGCGAGGCTATGCACCAAGAGATACAGGCCTTGGAAGACAATGGGACATGGACCTTGGAAGACCTCCCACTTGGAAAAAAAGGCAATCAAATGTAAATGGGTCTACAAAATCAAGTACAACTCTGATCCATTGAAAGATTTAGAGCACGGTTGGTAGTCTTGGGCAACACTCAAGTTGAAGGTCTTGATTACAACGAGACCTTTGCCCCTGTGGCTGAAATGGTCACAGTTCAAACCTTCTTAGCAGTTGCTGCGGCCCAACATTGGGAATTGCATTAGATGGATGTCTACAATCCTTTCCTACACGGTGATCTCTATGAGGAGGTCTATATGAAACCTTCTCCAGGTTTTTCGACCTCTGGGACTGGAAAGGTATGCAAAATTCGAAAATCTTTGTATGGTCTATGGCAAGCTCCCCGGAACTGGTTTTCTAAATTAGGTGATGCCTTGAAAACTTTTGGGTTTGATCAGTGCTATTTCGATTATTCCTTATTTACATATCGCAAGAATGGGCTTGTCTTGCATGTTCTGGTTTATGTTGATGAGTTAATCGTTGGTGGGAATAACCCAGAGTTCATACACAAATTTAAACAATATATGAATCGGTGTTTTCACATGAAGGACTTGGGTGTTCTTAAATATTTTCTAGGCATCGAAGTGACTCGCGGATCATCGGGGATATTTCTTTGCCAAAGAAAGTATGCACTTGATATTATTGCAGAAACTGACTTATTGGGGTCCAAACCTACTCACTTTCCTATTACTCAGAATCATAAACCTGCTCCTACTGACAGAGCGCTCCTGGATGACCCTGAACGATATCGACGTCTTGTGGGTCGTTTGATTTATTTAACCATTACACGGTCGGAGCTCAGTTATTTCATCCATGTCTTGACTCAATTAATGCAGTGTCCTCATGTTGATCATTGGGATGCGGCATTGCATGTGGTTCGTTTTCTGAACTCCATCGAGTTTTGGGATCTTTTGGATTAGGAATTTTTTGGATTAGGAAGTCTTTTGTTTTTAGAAAGTTTTAGAGAGCAAGAACTCTATCGAATTTGTATATAAATATCATAACAATCGAAAGGCACTTTTGGGCTTCCAAATTTTTTCACTATATGATCATCTTATGGATGGACGATTTCGATCCATGTCACATGATGATTACGGCGTTCGATTTGGTGTGGACAGGATCAACCCTGTTCACACCTTAAAATCTCCTCAACATATATATTGTGGACTGTGGTTATAATTGGTCCACTATTTTTCACTCTTTTTCATGATACTGTACATCATTTGGTTATTGTGCCCTATGCTATTTTTCACTCTTTACCATTACCATTAGATGCTCCTTCTCGACCGCGAATCTGTTCGTTGCAAGCAAAATAATAATTTTTATTCTATCAGTCTGTTCATTGTAATACATCTCTTTATCAGTCCATTCTCTTTTTTTAAATCAATAAAATAATAATTTTTTTTTGTTGTTAAATTCTTTTATTACCATTTTGTTGAAATAATTATTTATTGATTACTATGAATTTATTGATGTCTTTTCCAATTTATTTATTATATAAAATTTAAAACTTAAATATTTATGATCACCCGCATAAATCCTTTCATAAAATATATAATCACCTACATAATACCATTAATTATAAGTGTGAATTGAACCATCCACAATTCAAATCAATTTACATTCATCCACCAATTTCACATAATAACCCTTCAACCACTACTAATAAATGAATCAATGGATTCAATGCATACGTATTATTCAGTACCATGGAAATAGTTGCAGTTGCCCACTCTCTGTTTTTTATTTTGATAGTTGTTTCGGGTGTTTGAAGAGACAAATTGCTTTGGGATCATGGGTTGAGTGTCCCCGACTACACGTCACCTATGACAGTTTTCAATTAAGCCACGAGGGAAGAGTACAAATATGAAAAATCAGAGATCAAGATCGTACAGTGCAATAATCTTGTTTGCTAGCGGATCCAACCATAGCAGAGCTGAACAGAACTCGACTGATCGACCAGGTGCAATGAGAAGGTAGAATCAACAAAATCAACCATTGCGGGCTCTGACCAAATTAACAAGAATGGCTATGCCAAATTGCCAACTCCAACCAAATCAACCATTGTGGGCTCCGACCAAATCAACAAAATCTCCAGTCCTTGTAACTTTTTAGACATACTTTGTTTTTTTTAGAGTTTGGAAAGATAATGGAGTAGACAACTCCAAATTCCGTTAAGTGTACATCCTTTGAAAATTGTAAAATTATTTATTCGTCAATATTTTATCAATTTAGTATCGTGGTTGACCATAGCTTGTAGCCGTCAATAAAAGCACTGGAGACTTCCAAAGTTTTGGAGAGACAGAGATCTGGGAGGAACCCAAACTTCTCGGCACCCTTGAGAAAAGATTGTGCTCCCTACTCAGAGAGAGAGAGAGTTGTGACTTGTGAGTTATGGGTTTTCTTGGGGTCGTCAAGAAGCCTCATGTGGTTTGTATCCCATACCCAGCACAGGGCCACATCAACCCTATGTTGAAGCTAGCAAAGCTCCTCCATTACAAAGGCTTCCATGTAACCTTTGTTAACACTGAATACAATCACCGCCGCTTGGTCAAGTCTAGGGGCCCTGATTCTGTTAAAGGCTTACCCGGCTTCAGGTTTGAAACCATTCCTGACGGTCTTCCACACTCTGATGACATTGAAGCCACCCAACACATCCCATCCCTTTGTGACTCAACTAGAAAAACCTGCTTATCTCCTTTTCGCAATCTCCTTTCCAAACTTAATGATTCTTCGTCATCTGACACTCCTCCGGTTAGTTGCATCGTCTCCGATGGGGTCATGAGCTTCACTCTCACTGCCGCTCAAGAGTGTGGTATCCCCGAAGTTTTGTTCTGGACTACTAGCGCTTGTGGCTTCATGAGCTATGTACACTATCCCCATCTCATCCACAGAGGTCTTACGCCACTCAAAGGTATAATCAAATACAAAGCTTATTCACTTTAATTATTTAAACTTCATATATATATATATATATATATATATATATATATATTGAACTAACTGCATCTAGCTATAATAATTTGCAGACATCAACTACTTAACAAATGGGTATTTGGACACCACCATCGACTGGATTCCTGGATTGGTCAAGGATATTCGTTTAAGGGATCTTCCAAGCTTTCTGCGGACTACTGATCCCGACGACATCATGCTTGACTTTGTAAAGGGAGAAGTGCAGAGAGCTAAAAAAGCTGAGGCCATTATTCTCAACACCTTTGATGCTCTTGAACACGATGTCTTAAATGTACTTTCATTCATGTTTCCCCGCGTTTACTCCATAGGTCCACTTCAGTTGCTCCACAACCAGATCCCGGAGAATGGGTTAAAATCTATTGGGTCCAATCTATGGCAAGAACAACCAGGGTGTCTAGACTGGCTGGATTCCCAGAAACCCAACTCGGTTGTGTATGTGAATTTTGGCAGCATCACCGTCATGACGCCTGAACAACTTGTGGAGTTTGCCTGGGGACTCGCTAACAGCAATCAMACCTTCTTGTGGGTAATTCGACCTGATCTCGTGGTCGGTGACTCCGCACTTCTACCTCCCAAGTTCATAACAGATACCAGAGAAAGAGGTCTACTAGCTAGTTGGTGCCCACAAGAACAGGTCCTAAACCATCCATCCATTGGAGCCTTTTTAACACATAATGGGTGGAATTCTACAATCGAAAGCATTTGTGGTGGGGTGCCTATGATCTGCTGGCCATTCTTTGCCGAACAACAAACCAACTGTCGTTACGTTTGTACTGAATGGGGCATGGGAATGGAGATTGATAGCAACGTCAAGAGGGATGAAGTCGAAAGTCTCGTCAAACAAATAATGGAGGGAGAAAAGGGCAAGGAAATGAAGAAGAGGACTCTGGAATGGAAGAAGAAAGCAGAAGAGGCCACATATCAGGATGGTTCGTCTTATTCCAATTTGGACAAAATGATTAAAGAAGTGCTTCTCTCAAAATAAGCAACTACAGTAAATGACATCTCTTTGTCTTTCCCTCCCTGTGGCATACTATCCGTGTTTGTATTTTTCTACTT